CTGTGATAGTAAAAATATGACATTGTAGAGCAAGTTCAGAACACTGCTTGAACTGAGCTAAATATTTTCATATTAAAACTTACATATCCATTGTCTGAGTACGGATCTCTGAGGCTGGAAAATAAGAGAGATGATGCCCAAAGCATCTTTAGTCCTCACAGAGACTGGTGGGATCGTTCTGAAAGATAAACATGACGTTACTACAATTCTATCAGCAGTTAAAGGAGACTGATTCTATCGTTATTTGCTTCAGTGAGTTGTAGTCGCTCTCAAATTGTCAGTTTTTATGTCATGTTTTAGCCATTTGATGTGTATTTTCATCACAGAACATATTAAATAAATGGTTTTACTGATGTGTAATGTCCTAAAATGAATGTGCTCTTTTAAAACATTTTAAAGTATAAATATAAATATTGATGTCTTACCCATGAATTTCAACCATGTTAGCCACAAGAAGGTTTACCAAACGTCTTCTTGTGCCATCCGTCAATGTTCTCATTTTATCATATTCATCCAAAATAACTTGTCCACCAGGTTTAGCCTGGAGAGCGTTTCTCACCATCTATAAGATTAAGCATCACAAAGTCAGAATTTCCATCAATCTTCATCATCATCAAATTCAACAAACAACCCACAGTTTCACAGCAAAATATATTTGTACGTAATATTTTACATCATTTGTTACAAAAGCTGCACACCTCTTCAGCTGCTTCTCGTTCAGCATGTGTTGTCGTCCCTCTGTTTGTGTGAACAATCACTGTGGCATCAGATGAATCCGAGGATGCTGGCAAGGAGTTTCCAGAAACTGACAAAGATGAGCTGTCTGACATGGTTGAATCCAACGAAGTAGATGATAAATCATGTTGAAGCACAACTGGAAACAGTTGAAAAAAATGTACACACAAAGTGCAAAAAATAATTAGTTCCAAATACTTATTTATGATCTCCTTCCCCAACTAGGCTGAACCTCACCTGTTGACTTCTCAGTTGTCACCCTAACAGTAAAGTTCACCGCTTGCAAAAGATCCTCAAACACATCTGCATCGACTTCTGTCCCTGATTCATCTGTTAATGTAGCTCAGTCAAGTGGAAGATCTAGCTTCTGAATGACTGATAAAAATGGTATATTTAGAGCAATGAAAAAAATTTACAAAAATATTACAAGAATTTTTTAATTAAACCTAACTAAGTACTTCTGTAATTTTTTTTCACAGGCCATTACAATTAGCTGCCATAAACACAACTCCATAAGACATTTATCACATACATTCAACAGGTATTATAGCAAGTAGTCCATTTACACAAACATTCTGGACTAC